TCAGCAGGGTCGGCCCCGGTTAGTACTTGGATGGGAGACCTCCAAGAGAGTTCAGGGTTGCTACGCAGAGGCAGGCAAGGGCAAACCACCTCTGCTTATCTCTTTCCTTGACCTGGGTGGCCCAGGCTAGCCTAATCTCATCAGATACAATCATAGAATCATAGAGTTGGAAGGGACCTCTGGGGTCATCTAGTCCAACCCCCGGCACAATGCAGGAAATACACAAATACCTCCCCCTCCACGCCTGCAGTGACCACTGTTCTACACCCAGATGACGACAAAAAACCTCCAGGATCCCTGGCCAAACTGGCCTGGAGAAAAATGGCTTCCTGACCTCAGAAGCTAAGCAGCCCTGGTGAGTACTTGGATGGGAGACCCCCAAGGAAGTCCAGGGTTTCTATGCAGAGGCAGGCAATGCCAAAAACCACCTCTGAACGCCTCTTGCCTGGCACAGGGTGTGACTTGATGGCCCTTTCCCCCGCTGCATGTTGAGACAGCCGGTAGCCTTTTAGCCAGGACGACATTCTATATGCAAAAATTAAATAAAGCTATTAGCCACAAGGTATAGATAGGGACTCTGGGGCAAGGGATGCTCTGTCTTCTTGGTGCTTGGGGGGGTCAACAGTGGGAGGGCTTCTAATGTCCTGGCCCCACTGCTGGACCTCCTGATTGCACTGGTATTTCTGGCCACTGTGTGACACAGAGTGTTGGGCTGGATGGGCCTTTGGCCTGATCCAACATTGGCGTCTCTTATGTTCTTATGTTATGTTATGTTCACCCCCCCCCCAAGCTAACAGTTTATAGAGCTAACAAAATTGAATCTATTACAGGGAGCGCTAATGTATTCAAACAAAAATGGACAAAGTATGCTGAAGGAATTAAATTACAAAAGAATAATCGACCTGTATTTAAGTAATTAAAGTAAGACATTACGACGGGTCTGGACCCAGCTACGAGCCAGCGCTGCACGGTTACTCAGCAAAGGGACAAGGGCGTTATTAGCTTGCCCGCCTCATCCTCCCACAAACTGACAGCACATCAAAAGGTGACAAGCGGCAAACTGATCTCCATCATCATGGCTGAGGAAAGGGGCGGGGAGAAGGTGTATTTCCTTGCTGGGAAACTCCCTTAGACCCAGGGGCCCCTGGAAAGCAATGTGGCAACTGGCTGCCAACACTCAGGGATCTCCTGAGAACATCTAGACTGACCTTCCACTGAGAAGGTATCCTTCTAGCACAGGACTAGACCTATAACGAACTAACTGGGTAGAAACCCTGGAAAATCCCTTATAATGAACTTTGTAATGCCTGTGAGATCTAGCATGTGAGGAAGAGAAATATCCCAGAGCTAGAATCCAACAGCACCTGAAAGACTAACAACATTGGTGGCAACTCTCTGAAGGGGATCTGCAGAAGTGAGCCGTGACTCACGAAAGCTCATCCCCTGCCACAGATGTGTTTAGTCTTTAAGGTGCCACTGGACTCTGGCTCTTTTCTACTGCTACGGACTAACACGGCCACCCATCCTGATCTGTCCGAGCTGTAAATTGTACTAAGCAAAGCTGACAAGTGACTTTAAAAATGATTTGTTATAAAAGAGAGAGAAAAACAGGGAAAGGGTGGTTGGGTTAAAAAAAAAACTGGTGGCCACTGAGGAACTGGAAGAGATCCTGGGGCTTTGCTCTGCTTTTTCTTTTCTGGCTGGTACTTGTGTGTGTGTGTATGGCTGCGGAAAAACGGCGAGGAAACAGATGGGTGCAGAACCAGCCTCAGTTATAATCCAGCACTTTCAGTGTAAGAGTGGCATGGTCAGTGTACTTCACACCTGTATAGAAATATTGATTTCTAAAAGCCCCTGCCTTCTCCTGTGATATCTTTCTGATAACAGGCTGTGCCTCATTTCCTGCTACAAGCCAAATGGTGGGCCCCCATGACCTCAAATGCATGCCATAAACCCACATTCTTCACACTTCCATGCTGGAAGCTAGGCCAGCATGCAAAAAGTCATGTAGCTGATGGGAAGACTGGAGTTTGGGGTCACCTGACTGCAGAGGGAGTCTCCAGACTTCCAGCCTATCTCCACACGCAAGCATGACTCTTTTTGTAGCAGGAACTCCTTTGCATATTAGGCCACACACCCCTAATGTAGCCAATCCTCCAAGAGCTTACAGAGTTCTTCTTACAGGAGCTACTGTAAGCTCTTGGAGGATTGACTACATTAGGGGTGTGTGGCCTAATATGCAAAGGAGTACCTGCTACAAAAAGAGCCCTGATTGGACACACCTATGTCCACTCGCAATTGGCTCCTGGCCAGAGCTAATTTGTGAATGGAATGGGCCTATAACTGGTCATTCCCAATGGGAGAGAGCTCTGTTCTCTCTCTGCTCTTGTGTTCTTGCTCTCTGTTCCTGCTCGTGAGCTCTCTGCTTGTTTTATGACACTTGAAATGCTGTCCTGCCATGCTGTCTGTCGGAGAACAAAGACTTGCTTTGTGACTTAAAGCACATGGAGTGCAAAGATGGGATTTCTCCTATTCAAAATCCCTTGGTGTCTACTTGGACTGTATAACTTGGTGCTACTCTTGGACTGGGGATGCTCCTGAATGGGGTAACTATGAATCAGTAATGTTTAGTTAAGGCAAATCGCCTTAGGCTTTCTTATTTTGTAAACTTATAGTCTATTTTGCTAAGCTCTGACTGAATAAACATTAAATGGTCTCTGATGTGTAACTGAGTTCCAAGGCTAAACTCCTGTGCCTTCTGCTCACCCTATAAGCTACCTTTGTAAGAATTAGGCGTCCATCTCTAGGTAGAGGTGCTAATGTGTAAAACCCAGATGCCAGCTAAGAGTCTGAACCTTGCTCTTAGGCTGGAAGGGGACTCTAGTTAAAAGAGGTTCTGGTGGCAAATTGTTCTGAAATCCAGAGAGGGTAGCCTACCTCTGTGGGTTGTTGTTTATTGTATTGTAAAAGTATAGGATTCCCCTCTCATTCCTGGACAGGCTTGAGGGGCAGAATCCTATACAACACCACTGACACTTAGCCTTTCCAGACATTCAGAGAACGAGATGGCAAACCGACAAACGGGCCCGCTTTCGCGCCGGCAGCTTGCCGCACTCGGGTTCTGCAACGGTGAGACTGACCGGCAGAGTGCTCTGCACATGGAAATTAACATGGAGAGGGACAAGAGCTGCCTCGGTATTAGAGCCCCTTCTGCAGTTCAAGCCTCACTTAACAGCCACGGCGCTGAAGCAACACGCGAACGTCTTTCCATGCCAGTTCCTTATCCGGGACTCCTTTCAGGGCCCATCCTGCAATTTTGCTTCTAATTATAATT